AAAAAAATGAATCCGCCTCACCAATATAGAACTTATCTACTTCGAATGTTCAGTTCATAAGCGTCCATTTGAAAAATTATTACTCAAAACCCATACTACTTTCAAAATTGAATTTGGTCTCATTTTATAGACAAATCTTTGCTCTATTAGTGCGAAAAGTGTAGAATTTTGGGTGATTTTTCCTGATGTTTGACAAATTTTTAAACTAGAAAGGTGACTCATTTCTTTCTTTCGCACCCCACTAATCTATGGCGTCGCTGTGCATGCTGTGATTAATCATCACTGTGACTATTTCTTTAATATTTCTCTTATTCGCAAAGAAAAGTCGTTTTATCGAAACATGAGGTTTTCTATCGGGTTTTCGTCACTCACATAGTTAGGCTTTTGCGCTCATCACTAATTGGTTTTTCATGGCTGTTTTTTGAGCTCAGTGCATACTTTTCGACCTAAAAAGCGTCCTGGACTTGCATATATCAAGCGCGTTTGATCGTGAAAAGGAAGAAATTGTCGGTTAAAGTGGATTCAGATCTTCAATGATTTCTGTTTTACGGGTCTAGTGCGGTAAAGTCTATAAACTTTTCCGTGCATAAAGTTAGCAAAATCCGTCAACCGGCGGCCACCAAAGGTTAAATTTTTGATCAAAGCAATGAGTCTTGCCGCGTTACAGCGGATTTTAATTAAAAAGTGCCCCTTTGGCAATAAACAAATTCAATTAACATTGCAGTAGAACAAAATGTGACTTATGAAAATTATTTGTTTTCAGCTCTGAACGGATCTAGCAGGGCCCTCTGTCTCGAAACTTCGGCCTCTTTCAATCAGTCAGCCAAACACAATGTGTCCATACAATTCCTGCAGGAACCCTCCGACCTGGTGGCAGTTCGGGGGCAGAACATCACCCTGCAATGCTTTGCCAAATCCACTACAGGTACCCGTTTTTGTTCCGCAAAAAATCCCTTGTTTAATACGTTTGTTTTGCAGGCAACATCAACATCTCATGGTTGTACGAAGGGATGCCAGTCCCACAGGAAGATCCGCGATGGATGGTCAATGGAGCGGATTTGCTGGTGCTCCAAACTACTGGAGACACAAAAATCGCCTCCAGAAGCAACACGGGGGACTACAGCTGTTTGGCCGCTAATGAGGATGGGGCGATCGTGTCCAGAACGGCGAAAGTTAAAGTTGCCAGTGAGAAGCAATCGGTTTTTTCTGTTTCGTATTGTAAGGCTTTCTCGGATTTTCAGCTTTAGACAAAGAGGCAGATGTTTTGGCTGGCAATACCACCATCTACAAGACCCAACCGTTGCTCCTCCAATGCATTATCCACTCAACCCCTTCTGCTGAAATCCAGTGGGAATTCAATCAACTACCTCTACCAAAAGACATACGGTGAGTGCGACTAGAGAGAGCGATTTTTTTAGCGGATCTGTAGAAAAGTGGACTGTTTGCGTAATTGTAGACCATAAAAATAATCGTTCCTCGCAAATCGATTAAATGCTCATTGAGAATACCCATTCAAGCAATGTAGTATTATGATAACCGTTTCATTCATAAAAATCGCGATCATAGAACGTTAATGGGTGTTTTAATCACTCGTAGCTTTGGCATTCATTATGTCGCAGGTTTTAATTATTTGTTTGTGTCGTTATCTAGTTTTTCCTTTGCACTTTTTATACAGGGTTATTCACGCTATACGGCACGGAAGTTTGCGATTTTTTAAAAGTATTATTTTATGAATTGTCCGACGCCTACCGAGCGCACATTTAAAAAATATTTTTGTTATGTACAGGGTGTCCCAAAGGCTCTAAAGGTATCAAAGTTGCGTTTTTTTAAATGGAATGTCCTGTATCTTATTGCATTTTTGGATTCGCTGAACAAAATAAGTGTCTGTTTTAATAAGGTTTATAATACCAAAATCTTAAGGGTTTTTAAATAATACGAATTTAATCAAAATCTGATCTAATTTTCACGTGTGAAATACTTTAGAAGTATTTAAGTTATGTAAGCGTAATTTATAGTGAAGTGTAACAAGATATAATATTTTATATCCTAATGATAATGAACTTACCATTTTATACAGGGTGTCCACAAATTTGAACTAATCAAATAAGAACTTTAAGTGGCTCTAACTTGATTAATTTAAATACAACCCCATATTTTTTAACTTACCAGGAAATGCAATTTTTAATTACCTATCGAATGCTATTAGGATGTTAATAGTTAAGTTTTCCCCTTTTTCAAAATACGTCAAATAGTCGTTCTGTGCACCATTTGGTGATGTTTAATTTAAGGTTCCAATGTATCTAAGTTGGCTATGCCATTTACACATGTCAAATCATTTATTTTATTTGTCAGTTTAGACTGCAAAGTCTCTTTTTGATAGCTAGAGTGGTATTGTTTTTTGTAATTGTAGATGTGTTGGTTGTTATTTTCATATTATTATTGTGTTGCTAAGTTAAAATGAAGAATTATCCAAGAGAAGAGCGTATTTACATGATTTTCACCCTTGGAGAATGTCATAAAAATTGTTTA